CGCGGCACTGACGCTCCGCCCGGCCCCCCTTCCCCGCGCCGCGACGGGCACAGCCTGCCTGCGCCTTATTTATTTTCCTTTTATTTTGGTAAATAAATTGTATTTAAAAATCGTACAGAGCCCGCCGACGCGCCAGTGATTCAGTCGCTGCATTATAAGTGGCGCTTTACGAGGGCGCGACCCTGTGCTGCGCGAACCCCGCGGCGTTAGTACGAGGGTTTGAGCTCGCAGTCCGTGTGTGTAGTCGAGTCCCTGGAACCCAAGGAAATCGGCTTTTTTTTTTTTTTTCAGGCTGCTGAAGGAGTGCTGGCCGCACGCAGCATCGCATTGACTGCAGCGCTGCTGCTCCCTGACCCCTGCGCTTCCCACCCTGCCGCGCGGGCTGGAGCGCCATTATTCCCGCAGGTTTCCCAGGAAACTGTCTGCCGGCAGGAATTCTGCCAGGCCCTTCTCCATTAACTAACTACAGCCCCGCCCCTTGAGCAGAGCCAGAAGTTTTGTAAGGCCAGGGAGGATAAAAGCTTTTCACGCAATGAAGGTCTCGTACCTGTTTCTAGATTGTGTGTTGTGAGGATTTTATACAGTGATTGAGGTGTCTGATACTTTGCATTAAGCTTGAAACCCAGGGACATACAGCTCAGCACACAAGCCTGAAGGCCTACTCTTAAAAAAAGCAAACATAGCAACACCAAAGGACGGGAGGGTCCTATTTGGGAAGGGGTAGTTCATTGGGAAAGGTAGCTCATGATTACCTAGGTGCTGTAAGCTATGTGTGTAAACAGAACAAGTTATGGCATAAGGGACTGGCAGGGAGGGGAGACAAGGAGGAGCAAGTACAGGGGTACAAACTGAAGGAGGAGAAATTTAGGCTATTAGGAAAATGCTTTTTCCTGTGAGGGTGGTGAGACAGTGGCACAGGTTGCCCAGGGAGGCTGTGGCTGCCCCAACCCCGGCAGTGTCCAAAAAACCAGGTTGGATGAAGCCTTGAGCAACCTGGTTTAGTGAGGAGGTGTGCCTGCCCATTGTAGGGACAGTCGGGACTTAGATGATCTCTAAGGTCCATTCCAACCCCAAAAATTCTATGATTCTAAAAGTAAACCACTGACTAGTTGGTGCATATGTATGGAAAAGAAAACCCACACAAATTGGCAGGAAAGGGCACAGCTGGATTATTAGATTGCCTGTTACGTGTTCTGCAAAGCTCAGTAACAGTTGGTGCTAAGGCTCACCAAACGCTAATGTTGTAGATTTTCTTGCACGTGATCATCAGACTCCACAGACCTGCATGAGTTAAATATCCCTCTATGATGGTCCTGTTCTGCATTCCCTCCCAACTATTCCTCTGACATTGACAGACAATATACTGCTCTGAAGGTGTGTATTTCTTGCTAGAAATGCAGGTCTGCTTTTGTCACTGAAGATCTTTTGCAAGTGAGCATTATTATTTACTTAACTCTCTCTGTGGACCTTTACACACTATGCACCTACCAGTAAGGGTGGAAATGGTTTGGTCCCACTTATATTCTTCATGTTCTAGTGCAAAGAGGACACACTCAAATCACACCAAAGATTACCACTGTTGCCAGGGGAAGCATTATCCTTCTCTGCAATACGCATGAACACCAACATAATAAAATAAATATATATTTAGCAAAATGAAATGAGCAAAAAAAGCACATCAACATGGAAGAGATACACAGTAGAAGAATTTTCAGTCCTAGGTAAACAGAGTATTCTCCTTCTAGACCTCTTCACCAGGGATGCCTGTTCCAATGTCAGCCTACTTCATGTGCATTTTGAGAAACACTCTCCTCTTGCACATCCTAGAAAGCATATATTCACACAAGAAACTTTCAAGAGCCTATACAGAAAGTAAACATACGTACAGGAAGAGGAATACTCAAGATGTAATGTCTTCTTCACAAAAGAAACTTCACACTAAAATTATAAGCAAGTTGCCTGGTCCACAGATGAGGCCACCCCTGTTTAAGTTCTACCTATCAAATCCTCCTTAGGGATGACACTACTTCCTTAGGACAGCACCATCATTCACACACCTTTATAATGGGATCTTTCTTCAGTGGAAGAAGGTAAGAGGTAAATCAGCATTAGGGTAGACACAGCCTTGAAAGGGTTGGGTTGTCTTTTATCGGTTCCTGAACACAAAAGTCTTTCAAATAACTTTAGCCACACTGCTTGCAGCAATCAAAACAAGAAGCCATGTAATTAAAATTAGATAATCTGTGTTTTCTAAAAAAAAACAAACCTCAAGACAACTAGGAGAAAGACATTCATCTTGGTGACTGCACCAAGGATGACTAATGCAGAAATGGATTTATTTTTTCATTCTTAAACAAAATAAACATAGAGACAAAAAAGTATATACGAATAGCCAAAGATAAATTACAGATGAGAAAGGCTTCCCCATCCTCTTCTCACAGTGTAAAAGAGTCCTTCCTGCATAACAGCTAAGTCAAAAGCATAAGCCACTGGAAAATGGAACTTGATAGACACATTCATGATGAGATGAGGCAAGACTTGCTCAGTGTCTTAGGGATGAGCGATTTGCTGTGAGGGTGGTAAAAGTCACAGCCCAACAGTGATGTTTTGTAAACAATAAAACTAAGTGCTTCATTCAAAGCACTGTTCATCATTCAAAAATGCTGCTTTCCTACCCTGCCAACAGGACACTTCAATAATTTGGAGAGCAGCACTTCTGAAGAGGCAGAGGTTCCTCGCTGCTGATGACCATATGTTTCTGAAGTTACTGCTAACAATTTCTGGGTGTGCTGCTTCCCAATTCTAAAACCCTTTATGAAAAAGTCTGAAGAAGGAAAAATCCAACAACATTACATGAAAAGAGGACTAACTAAAGAATTCTGGAAGATTTAATCTCCTCCATCCCTATTTAATGGAGAATGAGTTACATAAACAGAGCAAATTGACGGTCAGCAGCTCAGCTGCACTTCGGACTGACAGGGTCCGTAACCCATCCTTTGTTACTGCCAGAGGCCTGGGATGACTCTAGTTGCCACATGAAATTCAAGAAGAAAATCCATGTTAGCTCTTTTTCCTGATATACACATCTCCTGCCTGCTGGTGGGGAAGGCCAAGTTCTCAACTAGCTTGGGCCATACCCTCTGCTGCCTGAAATAAGGGAGGCTGATGTACACATTTAAACATGTCATTCACTAAGGAAAGGGCAATGATGCAGTACAAACTATTACATTACACTGAGTGGGTCACAAGCTATCGTGGAAGCTTAGGGATTGTATGTCAACTATTGGCATAATGGCAGTTTGTTCTCCCAAAACCCCGATTTTGTTTTAGAGATCAAGCTTCTGTACATTCATTTAAAAAACAAGGTCCTTCTCCCAAACGCTGCTAATTGTCAGCTCCATCCTCTTCATAGAGTTCCTCCTTCCAGATGCCTAGTCCACTCCACACCAGCAGACAATCAAACACCATTAGGCTGGTTCTGGACAGCACACAGGCAAATGAGTCTGCAGTAAGAGTGTTCAGATAATGTAGTAGCTTTAATTATGGTAAGAATCCTCCTCAGAGTCCTCACTGTCACAACTGCTCATCGACAAGATGGAATAGGTGGAAGAAATGACACATCTGTCATTGTCTGTGGCTGGTTTCACCATCACATTCTGTTTCTCTGCATTCAAAACACACAGATATACAAAAGTTAGCTGTGACCACTGTATCCACAAGTGCTAAATTGCCAGTTCTCCTTGAAACTATATGATAGCCTCTCACTGTCAGTTTGCAATAGCTCTTTCAAGCTGCAGTGCACAGACCTTTCTCTTCAGTTTTCAGCTTTAAAAGAACAAAGGGCTGAGGTCTGTTTATTTGTTTTGTTTTCTTAAGTGTTCTATATGCCTTCTCCTGTTAAGGTAACACAGAGGAGGAGGAGACATTGTCCATCCCTTCACAGGCACATGATTGATAACGGGAGTGGCTAACTATTACAGTGCCTTGTCAGGTAAGAAAGAGAGAAGAAACAAAATGTGGTAAGGACCTCTCAAACAAGTAATGGTTCTCCAGCACACTTACAGCCCCATCAAAACCTTCATACATTTAAGAGTGCAAGCTGTGTCCTTCCGGTGCCTGTTCCACTAAGGCTCTTGGAAATGTTTCTTGGGAAGCTCTGACAGCTCCTCAAGTGCCACTTACATCATTATTTCTCTTTCAGTGGGTTCACTTCTTAGGAATTATTAAATAGACACATAGTTATCATCATCTCCATCAAAACCTTCCATCACTGAACAAGAAGATGACACAGAAACAGTTTAACCTTTCTCCAGAAGTGTGCCACGGTGAAGCTAAATGATTTTCTACCAATAGTCATTGGTGAAGGTAGGCTATGAGCTTATTCCCTTCTTGTTCAAACAAGGATGAAGCCATTGGTTTAGCATACAATGGGCTCCCCTGAAGGCACCACTTCAGTGAGCCCCCATTAGTAACCCAACGAGGCACTTCAGGAGCACCATGACATAGGCTGCAGATGTGCTGCCCATTGCACAAGGGCTGTGTCAGTTCTGCAGAGGTGAAAGCCACTCGTGAAGCCAAGCTGGGCAGCCTCTGAGCAGCACAGCATTTCCTGAGGGAACCAGACTGAGCTGGTTACATAGGTTATAATTTCAGGCTTGAAGTAGCACTGCTTAATGATGTCATTCTATGCTGCCATGGAGCATCTGAGCTGTTTCAAAAGCACCTTTCATTAAGTGAAAGGCTTGGCACACTGCAAAATGAGGGATCATGCAGTCACCTCCATGAAAGGGAAAACAAGACAATTACTTAAGGCAACACAGGAATAGAAATTTGCCAAGGGGTAGCAGGAAAAGACTTCTACATTTCAGCACCTAGATACCAGTGTCAAGTGCTCTAGGAACAAATTTGGAAGAAGGAAGCAGAATAGGAATACCCCACACTGTAGTTTTTCTTAAAGCTGTCTCCATCATGCATAGTCTTAGCTACCACTAGGCAAGATGTTATGTATTTAAGCCACAGTGGCTTTAATTCCACAAAAATAACCATGGTAGAACAACTGCCAGTTCAGCCATACACTGACATGATATACCAATGTCCCCTTTAGAGACTTCCTACGTAAATCTAGCACATGGAAGAGAATTCAGAGTTTCTCATCAGGCACTGCTCTGCTGAGTTTTTGCAATTATGTACTCAACAGTTTAATCTAAAGGTGCCTGGAAAATTTTTCAAGGCTCAATCTATGAAGTTTTGCTCTCATTTAGTGATCTCTTTGAACCAGTGCAACCCTTAGCATGGTTAAGTTGTCCTTCATACTGAAGTCTTTTTCCAAACTTTGCATTAATTTTATTTTACTGTGCAAGTAAAGCTAGTTACTCAAGAGATCTTATAATTATTTTTCTCGTGTTTCTGCTGCATTCCCCGAGCATCTTCTTGGTATATAGGTGCCAGAGTCATACAAAAGGGATGAAATGAGAGATTGTACTCATCGTGCCACATCCACCCACCTCTCACCTTGCCGCGTTCTGATAAGGGTCAGGCGATGCTGTTTTGTTTCCACATCCAGCTTCTCTACCATCCTGTCAATGCAGTTATCCAGCACCAGAGAGCGTGTCTTTGATTTGATCTCCTGCCTGCAGATAGGGCACTCCACTTTACGTTTCGTCCACTCATCGATGCAGTAGGAGCAGAAGCTGTGTGCACAGTTCAGAGTGACTGCCTGTGGAATTCACAGCAAGGGCACTGGTCACAGCATGCTCACGCAAGCATTGTCAAGAAAAAAAACATACTGAAGACACAAATATTAGGTGAACACTTCCTGTAAGGAAAGGGAGTAGAGAGCCTGAAGCCCCTTTTTTCTATTTTTAAGCTTATACTCCATGCCAGAGGGCAGGCCAGTTTCACAAGCCCGTTAATGGAGTTGCTGTAAATCTTAGCAAGTCAGACACAGACAAAATTAATTCATTCCATTCCAAGTTTCCCCAATTTGAAAAGAATAAATTATGGAAAAACTCAGATACTTCAGAATAGCATCTTAAATTACTGAGAAACCAGAAATTAAAATTTCAGCTCACTCTTCAGTCATTATAATAGGGCTAACGCATCAGATTTCCTGCAGTAGAAATGAATGTCATGAAACTGAAGTTCTAGCAAAATATGAACAAAAGTAAGTCTACATGTCAGGCATAGCCTATCACTTTTAAAGCCAAATGAAAACAGGCCAATTTCCCAAAAAATTTATCTGAACAATACAAATGGTCCAGGACTTGAACAAACACCACGCCTCCCTTCCTTTACTAATCTCTCCATATACCTAAGCATGAAACAGTCCAACTCCTGTCAACTTCAAGCAAGGTCCACTACTAAATTATTTTTCCCCAAGCAGGCTGTCAGCAGCAACTCAGAGCACTCAGTTCAAAAACTTGCAGAAGTGCTGCAAGCTTATATGCATTTTAGGATTAAGCACTTATGTCCTTGCAGGTAGAGACATTAAAGATGAATTTGCTGCCTGGAAGAGTCAGGGTAGACAGAATGGATTTCTGGATCAATCCTTTGCCACAACAACTCACTGTTGGTCTGTTTGGACTGTTAAACTAGTGAAACAAAGAAATAAGCTTAAATATTGCATTAATAGACCTAGAGAAAGTTTCTCAAGCCTTTTCTTTACTGGCAAACCCACGCAGGTTTAAACATACCTCGATAAAGTGCTCAGAACAGATTGTGCACTGCAACTCATTCTCCAACACATCATTCATCTGATTTAACACCTCTTCTTTTTGGGCTCTCACCTTTTCCTTCTCCTCCTAGTGGGAAAGTACATATGGTTGTGTATCAACAAAGAACAAGGTTTTACTCAATATTATATATTGGCAGGAAGTGAGTGTGCAGGGGAAGGTAGTACAAGTAGGAAATCACACTGCAAGTCTCCATATGTCAAGTCTGTGTCTATTATATACTCAGATCTGTAACCTCTCTCCTCTTTTCAGTCACTGCAGTATTGAGAATATTTCCACACACCACAGAGAACTTAGAAGGAAGAACAGCAGCCATTATCAAAATTCCCTTCAGCCTAAAGCAACTACCAGCTGGATCAATCTTTTCAGAATCACAGAATTTGAGAGGTTGGAATGGACCTTATAGATCATCTAGTCCCAAATCCCTGCCATGGGCAGGGACACCTCCCCACTAGACCAGGCTGCTCAACGCTTCATCCAACCTGGTTTTGAACATAGCCAGAGTTGGGGCTTCTATACCTCCCTGGGCAACCTGTGCCAGTGTCTCACCACCCTCAGAGGAAAAAACTTTTTCCTAATATCAAGCCTGAATTTCTCCTCCTTCAATTTGTATCCATTATGTCTTTTCCTGTCACTGCAGTTCCTAACAAAGAGTCCCTCTCCAACACCCTTCTAGGCCCTTCAGATGCTGAAAGGTTGCTATGAGGTCTCCACACAACCTGCTCTTCTCCAGGCTGAACAGCCCCAACTTCCTCAGCCTGTCCTCATAAGATCTTTTTCTACATGTTCCTGCCATGAGTTTGGAATAAGTCAACAGTTCTTTTGATGGCAGATGTAAAGAACAAAACACCCAACAGACAAAACACCTCAAATGTTAAAAAAAGGAAGCATAAAATTTCAAAACACTGACTTGCCTTTAACTGCCCAGTGTTTTGTTTGGAGTTCAATTAGGCTCCTAGGTACCTACTCTGTCTTATAAAAATAACAGAAATTCTTCCAATTGAAGCTATAGTTGAAACAGCACCAGAGTTGCAATGGCACCATTCAAAAACCAAAGCAAACTGCCAAAGGTGGGTTAAGGTAATTTCCAGGAGTAAGACACAGGAAAGGATCTCCTTAATTAATTTCCACTCATCACCTTGTGTCAAGGGCAGGAAGAAATGTGGCTTATCTTATTCATTATTCAAATTCCACATTGCTTCAGTCCTAGACTCCCTTACAGAACTGCTGTCACAGTGCAGTTTCACTTGAATGTACTCTGACTGAAAATGAAGCACCTCACTTTTCAAACACTTTTGGTTTATTGCTGGGGTTTCTTCTGGGTTTGTTTGGGGTTTGTTTGTTAGTTTTTTGTTTTGCTTGGTTGCTTTTTTAAAGAAAAGGTGGAATGGGCCCACTTCTGCACAATGCACAGTTCAGGTGCTCTGGGCTTTATGACTGAGAAAGATCTACTAACAACTGTTGAACAGTGATTTATAAACAGGGCAAGGTGCATCCTCCTCCAATCCTGCAAACTAGCACCAGGTGCCACCTCAAAATACAGAAAATTTGCATTATGGGAAGCCAAGCAGAGTCAAGACACGTGTTAAATAAACCATTTCCTCTGCTGCATCATATCATGTTTCACTTAGGAAAGAAAGTGGAGAATTCAGTTATTCCTTACCTTAGTTTCTTCCAGTTCTCTATTCTTGGCTCGAATTATTTCCTCAAAATCTTTTTTGCTACGATTCAGTTCTTCCATCAAAGCATGATGCTGTAACAATACCACACCAGAAGTTATAAGCTTGCCATTACAAGCTACCCTATTAAATATACATGACAATAGTCAAAAGGTTCAGCATACTCATTTTTCCTAATCTCCTCCTAAAAGAGCAGCACATGTATATATGCATTGAGGTCTTAACTTAAAACTGGAATGTAGTGCCAGTTACTTATGACCTTTCCAGTGTCATCACTTTGCATTCCCTCTCCCAGGTTACTGTTTCATTTCAGTTAGGTTTTACAGACACCTAAGGCAAAGTCCTTATCTTCTACCAAGAGGCCACTGCAGTAAGAAAGACTTAAAATATCCAAGTTACACAGTTATACCAAACCTAGGCTCATAACCACTTGCCTCTTGCAGGACCTGGGCAAGCTGCTCCTTCAGGTTGTCTTCCCCGTGTTGCCACTCTTCTCCCTGGGTGGAGTAAGAAGGAGGGGAGGGAGGAAAAGGAAAAATACTTGAAGAAAGCAAGGGACAGAAAAATTACTACTCTGAACACTCTCTTTAGAGGATATGCTCTAAGAAACAACTCTGGTTTTCAACACCCCCCCGAGATGTTCCACTCTTAGGTTATACGTGTATGACAGAAATTGCAGCTATCATTTACTGCAAAGACATAAAATGGATATATCATTTACAGTTGCATATTTGGAACACCTCCACATTATTCTAGCTCTAAAGGCACCAGCACGCTTACAGAAGCAAAGAGGTCAACAGCAGCTTAAAAGCAGCAACTCTATCTTTGAGCACATTCAAAGAGGTCAGACATACCTACAGCTCTAGCTGAACTTCCCATTGTGCCTAAGAACACAACCCCAGACTTTGTGAACTTCTGATACTGGTATCTTGCCTTTAGCAGCAGACTTTAAGGGAAGCAATTGCTAAATTATGAAACTCACTCCAAGATGAATCCTTTCTTTCTTTAAACTAGATTTTGAACAGACTCAAGTAGAAAGACTTCTGTTTGTTATCTGAAAAGCTACTTATACACATACTACTTGAAGACACAGATTGCAAGAAAGTTTTTTGAAAGTACGAGAAACCCCTCCAGGGATTAAGGCATGCAATAACTTGTTGCTTAGAAAGGGAGTGGATATGCCATGCAAACTGAGCATTAATTCAGCCATATATCCAGAGAAATTCACACTTAAAGTGAATACTTTTCAATTTGTCCACTCTGTAACCACAGTAGACCAGGCAGAGACTTTTCTTTTTTTTATTTAAAAGCATGCTTCTTTACCAAATGAAATGCTTTGTTTTGCATCTTTTTTTTTCCTAATTCCCCATGCAGCCCAATCTCTTCCATCTTTGTACTTTCTTCTGCCAGAAGTCAAATACTTCCACAAAAAGTTTAACAGGAGCAAGCCCACAAACACTATTTGTGTTACTGTATAGTTCAAGAGCTATTTTGGATCAATGCCTTATACTAGGCATTCCATAAAAATGAAGACAACAGGCCAAACATTATTACCATTAGATATTACCACCATTATACCTTTAGCTGCTCTTTACAGAATGTCCTCTCCAGCTCCTCCACCTGCTGCTGCTGCTGCTCTTGTTCCATGCTCAGCTGGTCTTGCAACTCCTGCAGCTCCTGCTCCATTACCAGGATCTCCTTCTGAGCACACTTCCTGCGCTTCTGCTTCACATTCAGAACTGCTGTCTGCTTCTCCTGCACTTTGACTTTTAATTTCGTTATGTCTACTAGAGTTCTCCTCAGCATTTCCAAGCCAGTCCGTGACTGTTGAAGAGCAGAGCCTTTCTGGTGCTTACGGGGGACAGACACGGTTTTCTTGGAGTGAACAGGGCTGCTAGGCACTGGACCACTATCCTCCACACTTGGTCCAGGAGAAGGCAGCTTGATGTCCATCTTCTCTGATAACCTTTTGGACTCTTCTACCTGTTCCCATGATTTATCTAAAGGTTCATTGTCACAGGACACTCTGTCTCTTTTGCATCTGGAGTCTGAAGGGCCTTCTGATCCAGATACCTCCAATTCCTCCACAGTAAATTTACGTTTACTTTTTGAACCCTTAGCTTTCTCCAGGTCACTTCTTTGGGCTAAAAAGGGTCTGATTTTCTCCCATTCTTCTTTAATTACTTCATACTCATATTCAGCAGTCTCTTTGTTTTCCAAAGGCACTCCCAACTGGATAAGGTCTCCTTCAGCAATAGGATAGACTCTGGATGGATCCAGGCGGTGTTTGTTGAGCCAGACTCCATTTAGACTCTGCCAATGAACACAGAATCAGCAAAATTTAATATGCAGTCATAGAGTCCTCTGCAAGTTATTTCTGGCAACTGTAAACACAGCCAGCCTCTTCAGTGCTGCAATCAGAACAAGCCACCTCTTTAAATAAACCTTGCAATATCCAATTTATTGGCTTGGTGTCCCATTTATTACAGTTACTGCATTATATGATTTACTGTACATTATTCTTGCATTACAGACTTCGTGTACAAGCACTAAGGACAACATTTTAACATTTGTGCTTGTGCAGAAGGGAAAGAATGAACTCCGAGAGGGGAAAAAAACTGCACAAAAGCCTCAGAAATAAGAACCAACCAATGAAAAGACTCCACAATAGATCATTGTCAAGAACATAGAATACTGCAGTAATTATTCTTGATAATTAATGTCACCTGAAATTCTAGGGAAAAAAGGAAGAAAATAAAAAGACGCATTGGTTATACTCCTTAAAGAAAAGAGACAGCTCTCCATAAATACAAGAATATAAACAAGAAGGAAAATGTTCTTCTAGAGATGATGTTCAAAGCACAGAAATGGTTTTAAAATTAGGCACTAGACAAGCTCAAGAAATAAGATTTCAAAAACAGCAAAACTGATCTGTGCTCAGGATGAACTGCGAGTCATTAGGAACTGACACATTTCAGAGATTCAATGAAACAACTTGACAGACTGGTAGCAGTGGTAACATGGAGGAAGTGTCAATAGTTAACCTACTGTAGATGTTTCCAATCATGCAGTAACAAGAAGGTTTCAAATTCATACATGTACTGGACAGAATTTTGTTTAAGAGCAGTGTAATCTTAGCAGTAGTCAGTCCATTCCTTTCTGACTTATCTGCTGTTGACCCAAACATCCTTCAAATCTGCATGACACATTGGACATTTTTGTTCTACCAGTGCTGTTTTAAAGCAAATTACTGATTTTAGTCTTCAGCCCAAATGAGAAAGTAGAGAGATCACAATATAAAAAACAGATTACCCAAGTCATAGTAAGACCTAGCTGAGCACTCTGATGTCAATACTCGATTCTAATCAGCTGAGAAGGACTTCCAGGACAAACTTGTTTGAACATAACATGAAGCATGGTTTTTCTAATAGGCTCTTGTTGTGGTTGATTATAATTACACAATTGTGTCACTGAAATAAAAAGTTCCAGTTTATTCTGTCATTAGCAGTACAAGAACATCATCCTTTTGAATACCGCCAAAATTCATAGGACTTTTTTTTAAGAAAGCAACACGAAACAGGTTCACAGACAGCAAAGTGCCCTTAGCAAGACTACAATGGTCTGACAAATGCTAAACCAAAAAGGCAAATCTACACACAGAAAGCAATACTGTCTGCATCCCAACTGCAGCAGATTGAAGCTTCCTGCTGCAAGTGCACAATAGGCAAGACACATTCCCATGGACTTTCCATCACACTGTATCATGGCCCATACATTGCTTGAGCTCAAACAAGACATTCTTTTCAACAAATTTAAGAGTACAAGGTCTTCAGTTGCTTTACCTTGTTATCCCTGATAGTCCACTGCCCTTCTGCATTCTGCTGGAAAATGCAGTGCTTACGAGAGATCATCAAGGGACAGCTTTTTGACACCAGCTGGTATGTGATATCTAATCCTCGGCCTAGAATTACCTAAAAATAAAGTAGTTTAGTAACTGCAGTCAGCAACAACATGGTAAATTCAGTTTATGCCATTTCAATTTAAGTACAGCAAAACTCTAGATCAGCATCTTATAGTTACTCTCAAAGAGTCTGGCATAATATGATTTTTTTTGCATTTAGATTCAAGAGTAGATAGAAAATGGAAACCCATAAAGTTAAGTATTCTCTTTCTATCCCACTGAGAAAAATTTGGTTTCTCTGAGACACATTACAGCCTTGATTTCATGGAACCTCAGCAGAAAAGCTGCTCAAAGCCACTCTCAACACATCTGTGTCCCACCTCAGTCATTACCTAACTAAACTCCATTTCTTCAAATGAGTACAATTGTTTGTGGGTCTCAAGATTACTTCTTACCCTCTTCTTCTGCTAGTTCTATCTGTTCAACTGTCTGTGAACAGGAAAGGTGCAGGAAAAAATAGCCCAGAAAACTGCCATCAAAAAAGTGCATACATAACATTGCCCTAAACGCACAATACTTTTGTGCGTCACACCATCAGTCTTGTGGCTCAGAACCTAAGCTACATGCAGCTCGTAACCAGTAATGAAAGTGATCTAAATAATCTGGTTAGACTCTAATAGCATCTTCTGGAAGAAGGGACATAATTTAATTGTGCCATTTCACAGTATCTTATTAAATCCCATCTAATTGCAGATTGCAATTTAAAGCACATCTCTGCTCTCCCGCCCTCTGCTGCCTCCTCTGAATACTTATCTTATTCATCTGTGCATTGCATATTACCTGAGCAGGTCTCACCCTGAGCTTAAAGCAAGAATTCAGACTCCCATGTCACAAGTAAATGCAAGTAAGCAAACTAAGGTAATAAAAGCAAACTTAACCACATTGGTCCCTACCTCTTAAATGCCTCATATATACTAGTGTTCTGTGACGTGGATTGCACGTGTAAGAGGTACAGAGACTCAGGTGGATAAAGACTCCCCACTTCATGTGGATTCAGACACATTGGGCTTCGCACTTGTCCCTGCAGTGGCAACAGAAATGCCTAAGCCACCTGAGTGATCATGGCCCAGTCACACACATCTGTGAGACTTCACACACCAATGAGTGAGACCAAGTAGGGACAGTCTCAAAACTTACCCTTGATCAAGCTTGCTTAGCAAACCACAGCAGGGTTCAAGACATTACGACTCACCTGCTGGAGTTCAGTGCTGCCCACAGCAGTACCAGCACATCACAGCACATCCCCAGGCCTCTCACCAGTGCCCTTTGGCACTGAAGTGGTCACAGCACCAAGCCTGACACAGTTCAAGAAGCATTTGGACAATGCTCTCAGGCACATGATGGGATTATTGAGGATGTCCTGTGCAGGGCCAGGAGCTGGACTCAATGATCCCCATGGGTCCCCTTCCAACTCAAAATTTTCTATCATGATTTAAATCACCAGCAAAAACAGTTTGAGCTGTGAGGCCTGGCACAGCTGCAGCACCAGGATGCCATCAGCTCCTCTCTGCTACCTGTGACAATCTGTAGCACTGTGCAGACAACTGCAGCAGTAACACCCCAAACAGGATTCACTGTGCAATTAGCAGAGCCCTGGCTTCAAGTTCTGTGGATATATTAACTCCAGTCCTTCGCTGAGCATGCTGGCACACTTCAGGGCTTCAAATCCATGATAGGAGAGCATGGTATAAGTTTGCTTAAAGAGTTGGCTAGCACTGAGAGGCGAGTTTCAGGGGCACCTTCTGCACGCGTGCAAGCACAAAGGCGTTGGCCACAGCACCACCCACACCTCCTAACTGTTTCAGAGCCTGCCTGGTTCTAACCAGCAGAATACCAATCCTCCTGCACTGCCTCAACCTCAGCACATTATCTTTGCCTGATGCATGTAAGGGAAACAGTACAAGGACCCATTAGGGCTTTTCAATTAATAAACATGATCACAGACTCATAGAATTTTAGGGGGACCTTATAGATCACCTAGTCACAACCCTCCCTGCCCTAGGCAGAGACACCTCCCACCAGACCAGGTTGCTCAAGGCTTCATTCAACCTGGCCTTGAACACTGCCAGGGTTGGGGCAGCCACTACTTCCCTAGGCAACCTGTGCCAATCTCTCACCACTCTCCCAGTAAAAAGAATTTTAATATCCCCCTCCTTCAATTTGAACCCGTTACCCCTTGTCCTATCACTGCAGCTCCTAACAAAGTCCCCCTCCAGCTCCCCTGTAGCCCCTGAAAAAACGTTTTTCCTGCACCACACCGAAACGCAACCACAACAGATTCAAAACATGAGCTTGTTTACACCTAAAGACCTTAAGACACGCAACTTATCTTACGCGCTGTTAACCTCGCCAAAACCTTGTTGATTAGGCTACGAATTCCCTCCGCCCCCACTCACGTTACCGCCACACAGACAACTCCGGCGAGACAGAGATCAAAAATGCGAACAACCGAGGCCTTGGCGAACGCGACGCCAACACCTGGGCCCTCCCTCCGCTCC